CCTTTTTCAATTTCAGTTCAGACTGAAAAGATACTTCGAATCATAATCATGTTTTGATTTTTTAGTCGTCTCAAAGAATGTATGCGAATGCATGGGTTTGTGTCAGATCTGGTCAGTAAGGACATGCTTTTGCATGGTTGTCATGGAGACAGTATTCAGTGGGAGGATTCAGAGTTGGCGCTCTCGGCTCGCGCACACACAGGTGGAAGGTGTGCTATCTCGTGCTGAGTTTCCTCCCTAATATTCAGACCTCTGTGCATAAATGGATGAGCCATATAATGGTAGCCTAAATTTAAGGCCTATATATATATATATATATATAATATATAGTGTGTGTGTGTGTGTGTGTGTGTGTGTGTCTTCTTCAAAAAATTCACATTTTATTAAGTCACCATGAAATGGAATCTTTATTGTTTTGTTTACAACATTATGATTTGATGAGGGGGAAATGCTGCATGCATATTTTTTTGTGCAGCATTATTGACTGCAACCTGTCACTCAAGTGAGATCCACCAATAGCAAACCACAACAATCCAATTAGGATATTGGATATTAGGATATACATCACAATAGGAAAGAAAAGACTATTACAATTTCTGTTTTGTGCCAATTCTATGGAAAAGCATATAATATAATCTTACACAAATAACCTGTGTTTTACTGTTGCTTGATTTTCCACGAAATTACAGTTTTTGTTGTGTCCTTTTTTAAAGTGAGTGGGCGTTGAGTTCAAAATAAGAAATGTTAGTCAACATTATCTATATTCCATTATTTCTAACTAAATGTTTTTTTGTTTTTTTTTTAATGTTGTCTGCTGCTTTAAATGCTCCAGCTCTAAAAAAGGATGGCTTCTAATTGGCTGTCAATGCTTTTATTGTTCATCAGCTGAAAACAAAAATCGTTCTGAAAGTGATTCCAAAGATATAGTTTCTTTGTACCATTGTTATAGTTGTGGACTCTAGAATTAGATCTGCATAGATCGTGATAGTTATCGTCCTTGGTGTGAACGGGCCTTAACTCTCTTTTTCTTTCTCTGTAATAAATCAGAATTAATGAGCATTGTGGGGCAGACCTAATGGATGTCTGAGTCAGATCACTAATTAAACAACACAGGAAATTGCTCTTCATAAGAAAAAAAATGCGAGTGTGTGCGTATGGGAGATTTATAGCTGGGGGTGACGGGTAAACAGGGATATAACCTCGCTCTGACCCGTCCTCCTGGCACAACATGAAAAACATACACATGAAACAAAAACACACACACTTGCCCAAATTGTGTCCGTATTTCTATTGCATAAACACCTAAAAATATAAGAAAAAAGGAAAAAAGTTAATATTTTAAAGAACTTTTTATGCCAAAAACTAAAACCATCTTAAATGAATAAATACGTTCATGTTTAACAGGTTATTTAATTTTTTCTTAGCGATAATGTATGTTTGCAAGCTATTTAATTTACAAAATGTAATACAAATAAGAACAATTATTTAAAACTAAATAAAATGATCCCATTATGGGAACCCCTATATGTGAAGCGGACCTTTTACAATTCTATATAGAACATTTTCTTCTCGTGAAGGATTTAAACAAACACATATTGCAATACAGATGTTACCCTCTTCACACACACAACACAAGAGGAAGACTTGTCTTCCTCAAGGATGTGATGAGCATCTCTCCCACAAGGAGCCACAGGATATGTGGGACAAACTTCAAACACACACACACACACACACACACACACACACACACACACAGGGTTTGGTGTCCAGACAATAGAAGCAGTGTTAGAAACATTGTACTATCCTACTGGCTGACAGCAGATAGACCTTGTGTACTCCTACAGACTCAGACACCACTCAATGGTATTTCGCACCAATAAAATACAAAAACAATATGCTTTCTCAATAAAATTACGATTGGTTTCAGTTTATATACTTCATCCGGGTCATATATCTACTTTTCAAGCTTAGTAGTATTATAAGTGTTTATTTTAGAAATGACAGAATGATTTTAGTGGGAAATTGCGCATACGTTACTTATTACCCAATGCGTGTCTTGCCATATCCATTAATAGAGAAGGCTACTTTGATGCTCGATGTGGAATGATATTATTTGTCACAATTATTTTTGTATTTTTTACTCAGAACAGAGGAGAGTTTGCAGGCAAAAACAGAATGTGATCAAGCTCGTAATAAAACAAGAATCAACATAGAGAGCCGAAGTGATGACGTCACTTTGTAGGACAACTCGGAAATTAGCGGCGCATGGGTTCCCTAAATCGAAAAGCTATGCATTTTCCACATAGACTTTTAGAAAATTGCAAAAAATAAGATCTGTGTTCAACATAGAGTTGTGAAGATAATCTTTAAAGTTTAAAAAACCACAAGCAGACACAATAAAGTTTAAAAAACCACAAGTAGGTTATAACTGGTGTGTTTTACGTCATAGATCAAAACGTGAAAATATTTAGAGGCTTTTTAGAGGCGATTTAGCAAAAACCCATTCAAAAAACCCATAGACTTTAGGGCGAGGGAACCGGAAGTGCAAAAATGCAGGTGCACCTGATTGCTAAAATGCTAACTCATTTCCGCGTTTTGGCCTACAAAGTGACGTCATAACTTCGGCACTCTTTGGCTTGGCTTTTCAGAGATGGCCAGAACTGAGGGTATTTTATTGAACAGATGAATTGCCATAGCTCTTTAACAGAGTTCTTTCTATTGTGAGAGTCATATCATTATGGCTGTTGCAGCTGTGCTTTTTTAAAAGGAAAAAGGAAGTACCGTGTCTATTAATGGGTAGAGCTACAGTAACATCTTCAGTCAGCTTGAGATCCCACATCTAAACTATGTCCCATAATATGTCCCAGTGTCCCAAACATGTCCCAGTGATTGTTAAGAATTTAGAGTTTTGTAAAGCCTGACATTCGAAATAATAATCAGAAAAAAATTTTTTTTTTTAAAACAGAACCATGTGGGAACATTTTATTGTGGGTGGCAATCATACAATGCAATGCAATACAGTGCAGATTGAGAGATGAACTAAAAAACATTTCTCAAAAAACCTGAAAAAAAACCCCCACATAATTGTTTTATCTCACTTTATCCAGCTTCCTCATTAAGATTCTCCTCAGACTGGTTTTCCACCATGACAGAAGTTGACCCAACAGAGAAGAAATACTTTTGAACAACATTTGGGTCAAAACCTGCTAAATATGTGGCGAATTGTATTCTGACACATTTGGAATGTCCTTATCCTAGCTAGAAGCATTTGTGTGTTCCAGATTTCATAAATTGCTCGATCAAGGTGTCAGGAATTAGATACTACAAACAATGATAACACTTCTAAAAAATGCTGGGTTATTTTAACCCAATTTTGGGTCAAATATGGACAAACCCAGCTGTTGAGTTAAATATATAAATTGCATTTTTTAATCCAACAATTGGGTTTGTCAATATTTGACCCAAAATTAAAAACAACCCAGCATTTTTTAGAGTGTATATGTTTATATGCACGCTCAAAATGCAATATTGCAAATTTATACTCTACCCTGTGAATACACTACTTTGATCAAATTGAGGCAATTAAGCACATCCGGATTGCATTCATACTAGTGCACTTTTTTAGTGGTCATTACTTCAAATTATAAAACGGTTAGTTACAATTTAATGGTCTGATTGGTCAATAGCATTTATTCATGATAAAACACGGCTATGAATTCACCCATCAGTTCTATTTATCACTGCGCATCACTGCAGTTTTTATTTGAGCTTTCATGCATATTACACATTGGAACATTGTTGCTGTTCACGGTCCGGGACTATTTTTCTAGCGGAAGGAAGGCTTTTAGTGATTTTACTTCATGAAATTTGCAATAATACATATATATTTTTAATATTTTTTATTGTGTAGTAACCGTTTTATAAAAGCAATGTGTTAGTGCAACTTTCATGAAGTAAAATCACTAAAAACCCTTCCTTCCGCTAGAAAAAATAGTCCCTGACCGTGAACAGCAGCAACGTTCCAATGTGTAGGCCTGCTTATGTGTACTTATCTCTACATAAGTTGAGAGCAAGATTCGTAAACATGCGGTAAATAAGAGATCACATTTTGGGGGCGCAATTAGTTGTTGATAACGTTGCGCAACATGAATATGATGCAGTGTGTAAATGGCCAAAATGTTAAAATGAAGACGTTTTTCGGTGTGTCAACGGAAAAATGAACTATGTCCATATATAAATGTGTTTTTCATTTGATGTTAGTATGTAGCTAGATTAAAACAGTGCGTTTAAATGCGAATAACAAGGTTCGCTCGTGTCATATAAACATGAGAGTGCTCTGAAAATAGGAAATAATCACATTATTGCTGCACATGTAAATGCCAGCGTTAGGATGTATAGAAAGTAGCGAAGTGTGTGAGGAATTGTCACAATGACCAGCGCTAATTCCAGCCCTAAAACTAAACTACCTGAGTGTTATTATTGGTTTAATGCAGGTGTCAACTGGGATCCTGGAGGTGTTTCTAAAAATGTGTGTGTGTGCCTGTTTGACAAAGACAAAGACTGGAATAAAATGGGAGCTCAAATGATCCGGTATCAAACAGTTTGATCAGACGCACACGGTTGTCATGGAAAACAGTGCCAGGCAGGTGGCATGAAGCGGACAAGGCCATTAAGTTTTTGATGTAACTTAGGACAACCGCAGGTGGGCAGTCTCAGATCAGATAGCTAAAACACTCAAGGTTAACAGTGACACACATACACACACACAGTTGTGTTTTCAGGTTTTATGGGGACTTAATGGTCTGTACAAACTGTTTATTCTTCCCCCTACCCATCACAGACAACTTTCAGCATTTTAACATTAAAAAATAAAAACACTTAGCATGATTTACAAGCTGCATTCCTCATGGGGACCAAAATGTCCTCACAAGGACAAGGATTACTGCCATCTTTGTGGGACATTTTGTCCCATTAGGGTTTACCAGGCCACACACACACACACACTGCAAACTGCCACATGGATCGGTGTATTTGAATTAAGTGTCTGTCTATGTGTGTCTGTCTTTGAGCAAAATTTGACACGCACCCGAAAAATTCTGACTAAGCACTGTTTCCATGACAGTTTATGAAATTTGTGATAATTTATGCTGACATTCTATAACTTCCGTAACTTAAAAAAAAAAAACATTGAAGCATGGTTTCGTATTGCTAACTAAAACTAAAACCACAAAAAACTGCTCATGTGAAATAAGCAATAATTAAGTAAATGTTGAGTGCAATAAAGTAAAATGTCAAATAGTATAATAATTATTTAAAAATAAAAAACAATTCAAACTATTAATATAATAATATCTCAATAATTTTAACATTGAACAGTTAAAAAATATTTATTTTTGTATTGAAATGTAGATTTAAAAAATATGAACATAAAAATGTCTATTTTTTTATAGAATTTTGTTGGATATAATGCAACATTTACTTTACCCACAGACCTCAAACAAGGTTAATTTTTGGCCCTCTGTGGTAAAAGGTTTGGGCACATCTGATTTGAAATATTGCAATTTATTGGTTATCAACCATGAATATAATTAACGACTTATCAGTATCGGACAGAATTTTAACATCATTTTTGGAACAGCGTGAGGGAAATCACTCAGTTTAATGTTCATTTTAGGGTACCAGAAACACATTTAAAAAATATTCATATCTCAGCTGTCAATATTGAAAACTTTTCACGTGCAGGGTCATATGGATAAGCGTTTCTGACATCACTTCCTGCCTTCTCCAGCACAGCCACAGGATGTGACATCTTTGGTTGTGCCGACGAAAAAGAACTATCTATTAAAGAGAGCAAGAGATGACAGACAGGAAGATGATAGCAGAGGTATTGAGCTGTGTGTGTGTGTGTGTGTGTGTGTGTGTGTGTGTGTGTTCTCTGAGGGTGAAGGTTTTGGGGTCTTCAGGGAAGCAGCCATGTGATGAAGGTGGTATGAGGTCTTTCATGTCAAATGACCAATTAATGGAGCTGAAGTGGCTCTTAAGTGTGTCATGTTTGCACACACCCTCTCTCAAACACACATACACACTCAAACATCCACACACTGGCTGAAAAGACCCATTTTACGGCTCTCTAACACATCAGCCACTCACACACCTGTTCCCATGTACACTCTCTCACAGACACACACTGCTGCTGGCACTACACCAGAAGCTCTCACGTTAATTGTGTCCTGACTTTCACTCCGGCTCTCTCAGGTGCAGCATTGAACCCTCACACGCGCGCACACACACACACACACACACATACGGGTTTTTGTTAATTACAAGGACACTCCAGCCCAAACCAGTCTGTTGGTGTATTAGGGGGACACCCCTTTCCACTTGCTCTACAGAGATGTAATGGGTATCAAAAAATCTGATTTGTGCCATACAACATAGATTTCACTTCAGAATTTGGATACACTGAACACAATTTATAATATACAAACCTGACATTTTACATACTTACGGGGACAATTGATAATTAGATAGACAAGCCCCGCCCATGAAACAAAACTAAATTATAAGGACAGTCATTACAGTGTATTAGAGGGACATGGCTATACACATACACAAAAGTGAAGGCATTGTGTATTAACAGGACGTCCCTGATTTATAAGAACATGATTAGACTCGGCACACGTCTGTGCACTGCAAACACACCCCATACCTGTGGCTCATACTGACAACAGACCAGAACACTTAAAAGTATAATATTTGTATGGTGATGTAAATATGCACCTATAAATTTTAAACAGTGCATTCAAGGACCTGCTATTTGTGGGATATATTCACATGACCATATGACCTTTTAACACACACCAGGACATACAACATTGTGCAAGGAGCAGAGTTTATTAGTGCTTGTTGTCAACATTAGTTGTTGGCCTGACAATTTTACATAAATCTCAAGGTACACTACAATCTGTCTTGTGTGAAAAGAAAAACAACAACAACAACAACTGTAAAATGCAAAGAGATGGAATTCATTTAGATAGATGTCTTTAATTTGTTTTCAGATATTTTTATTACTATTTCATAAACATAAATAGTAATAAAAATAGTTGGAAACAAATTAAAGAGATTGCGGTCAATTCACCTTTATTTAAATAGCGCTTTTTAATATACAGATTGTATTAAAGCCGCTTTCCAGAAATACAGTGATTTTCATCGAGTGCTGTACAGCAGATCTAGAAGAAAACAGAGTCATAGTTCAGCTTTAGTAATTTCTGTGATGGATTATTTCTGTTGTAACAAAAGTTATTCATTTAGTTCATATAAATTCAAATATTTAGCGGCTCTGGAGTAAACCGTGATGTCATAGTCCAGCTCAGTTCAGTTCTCATATAATGATGTCAAAGCAGGAGATCAATAATATTATTTAACACCATGTCCTAACTACATGCGACGTGATAAAATTCCAGCGACAGCAAGTGTGTCTGTCCACACTAGACGTGACGCGACTGTGAGACGCCACACGTCAATCAAAAATCACAGCCATTCAGAACAGCGTGTGGGCGGAGTCTCTCTGTCAAAGCGCACTGCTGGCCCGTAATCGCATTGGAAATGGGTAAGGACAATCAAATCAAGAAATAACATTATTAAAAATCAAAACATTAACAAAATATACTCATTGACTAATTTTGTTATGAAGTACAGTTGTATGTTTGCATAGAATTCATTTTGAATGCTATATTATTATGCTTTCAAAATCTGAGGTAAATTATCCATTATCGCTTGTGGCATAGTGACCTATTTTTAACTAAAAATAAATAGTGTGTACTCATAACCAGTGTAATTTCTTGTAATCTGTGTAATCTGTCAGCCGCGACGTCACAGAAATAGGAACCGTTTCTAAATTAGAAACTTCGCGTGTCGCCGTCACGTCTGGTTAGGACAAAAACTCTGATTAACATGGAAAAGATACCTTTTATCGCATGTCGCGGCGTCGCATGTAGTTAGGACACAGTGTAACATTAATATTAAAGAACCGCTGAACAGCTGTTCATTGTTTGTTCATGTAAGTTCACAGTGCATTAACTAATGTTAACAAGATTTTAATAAAGCATTAGTAAATTTAAAAAATTAACATTAACAAAGATTAGTAAATGCTGTAGAAGTGCAGTTTATTATTAGTTGATGTTAACTAATGTAGTTTACTAATGAACCTTATTGTTAAGTATATTTAAAAGGACTTAAAGTTATCAGTCCGTTAAGATCTCCTTTTTAAACTTATGGTCAACTGTAATTTGATCAGTTTTTGGCCATAACATGAAAATAATTATCAGCTTATTGGTAGACACCACAATAACAATATTGGTCACTAATTTCTGTAATAAAACAAACTGCTGACATACCAAAAGCATTGGAGAAATGATCATCCTCAGGATGGCTTTCATCAGGATTACTGGCATCCAGTCATTCTGATCTCATCTTGAAGTAAAAGAGAAATAAGAATATGAGAAACATTGATATCTGTTTAAAAGGTATTTAACTGTAAAGTTACCTTAAGTCATCACACACCAGTTTCCTTAAACCTCCCTATGAGTGTAAAAGATCCACTTAACCTCCTACACTAGGATAGACCTTCAGTCTCAATGTCATCATGTGACATTGAATATTAGGAAAGCGGCCCTTTTCCATGGCTAGCAGAAACGTTGATATTTTAGCCAGCCCAGAAGTGGCTTCTGGGCTGTAATCGTCACGATAGATGTGGATATCATGTCCCAACAAGTTGGTGACCTGATCCACTACATCGTTTTTCAGGTTTAGGATCTGGGAGAGAGTAGCTATGTGTTTGCACAGAAGAGTTGATCCAAGAAACTCTGGATTATGAGCTGCACATTGACCTGCATAGGCCCTAAGAGAGTCAGGGCCTCAGTAGTGACTCTGGCAAACCAGAATTCATTAGTGTCCAGCACTCCACATTCACTTCTCTTGCTGACCAGCAGTGTCAGGGCATCAACCATATCAGGCGAGAGAAGAACAGCAACCTTTCTTCCCCCTTTGGCTGCAGAGTTTCTGTTCAAGCCTGGCCCGTGGCAAGTGCTGTGCCTTTCTTTAAAGCCTTTGAGTAGCAATTTAAAGACCTCTCCAGCACATCTACGATCAATCAAGAAACAATCATTCTGGCAAGTGTTGCTTTGGCCATTTCTGCATATCTTTGAGATGCCATCTCTTTTAATTTTTGAAATGCCGTATGAGCATTTTACATTTACATTTAGTCATTTAGCAGACGCCTTTATCCAAAGCGACTTACAACTGAGGACTAAATCAAACAACTCATTGTGAAGAGGCAATAACAACACAAGAAGTGTTCAAAATACAAAGTTCAAACATTGCTCAGAGTAGCATAAACCAGGCAAGTAAGGATTTAAAGAATATGTGCAGATCATTCCACCGGCTTGGAACCATGAATGAGAATGTTCTGGAGAGTGATTTTGTGGCTCTTTGTGATGGTACCACGAGCCGTCGCTCATTGATCGATCGTAGGCTTCTGGTAGGGAGGGATGTAGACTCGTGAGTGAGTGAAGGGAGCTGATCCTGTGGTCGATACGCACGCAAGAGTCAACGCCTTGAACTTGATGCGAGTAGCGAGTGACAGCCAGTGCAGAGAGATGATCATTTGTAGAGGTTTAGTTGCACATGATGGAAGTCCAGCCAGAAGAGCATTGCAGTAGTCAAGCCTAGAGATGACCAGGGCCTGGACAAGATGCCATGTTGCTTGCTCAGTTAGGAAAGGTCTGATCTTCCTGATGTTATGCAGTGCAAACCTGCATGATTGAGCTATCTGTGTAATATGGTCTGAGAAGGTCAGCTGGTCATCAAAGATTACTCAAGATTTCGGACCGACCTTGATGCAGGGCTCCAGACTAACTTTTTTTACTCGGAGCGCTGTTGCCCCTGACTGAAAATTTTAGGAGCGCAAGCAGAAAATTTAGGGGCACACCTTAAATCAGCTTGCAATGCAATTATTCAAATTTCCCCAAAATAACTGTAATACTGACAAATTCTTTAATAATAAATAGACTTGACATTATGATATGCTGTTTTATTTAAGTTCACAGGGCTCCAGACTCAAAGTTGAGGCAGCATCACCTCAAATGAGAACTCACAGCGAGTTCTACAAAAAAATAAAATAAAATAAAAATGTGGTAGCACGGAGGCTGACAATAAATCACTAAGCTTAATTTAGGGTGTAGATGAAAGTAGATGAAATTAACTTTAGTTTACTATCATTTATAATGTCTTAATATTTAATTAATAAAAGTAGTGAAATATGTATATGGATTATGGAGTGAAAATAGCCAATAAACATCCTGTTTTACAATGGTAGCCTATTATTATTTTTTGTGTTTAAATAAGAGTTTTTCCAACATCTTAATTTTTCGTTTTAGGACAATCTTTAAAGGATGAACAAAAAATGTGTTGGTTATCACATAAAAATACAAATATGATATTATTGAAAGGCTGGAAAAAGATGTGTAGTAGGCTACTTGTAAGCATTTGATTAATTTCTTAACATTATCATATTTATGGTTAGAATTAACTTACTACATTAGCCTAAATGCATGGTTCTGATAGGCTGATTTGTGGACTGAAAGCCTAACGTCAAGATGTTCTCCTGGTTTCCACGTCAGCGCTGTTTTGATCTGATATGTGTTTATAACAGAACTCTGCGCCGAATCAGAGTGTTTCTCACTGGATCTCGTGTGTTGATGTTATTAATCTCTGAGGTGAATTCAATGGATTTCTTTACTGGATCTAGTAACAGTGTTGCGTGAGCGAGATCGGCCCGCGACTGGCAAGTTCGGGCTTTATTTTGTCAATGGTTCGGATCGCTGCTGGCAGCTCCACAGTCCTAATCATAGCTATGAGTGGCGTATTTTCGTTCCACTTTCATTTTGTTTGCATTCGCTGCTAGGTAACGACTAGCGAGTCGATAGATCGCTGATTGCTCAGACGCACATCAGGTTGTGATATTTGTCTCCTTCCCACAGACGTTTACGCGCGCTATTCTTGTCACGATTCATTGACGCGCCGCTTTACCATGCGTTTAACGTGCGGCAAATTTACTGGTCGCACATGTGCGACTGGATAAAATTCAGTCGCACACTCTCAAATTTTGGTCGCAAAATGCGACCATTTGTTTGCAGTCTGAGCCCTTTGATGGAACCCCATCATGGAAGAGAAGCCATCGTGTTTACAACTGTGACAATGAGTGCTTACCAAGATTAACTAATTGCTGGATTTTCAAACTATGTGAGGTTTCGCAGCTCTACTGTTGCAGTAAAACCTGCACGTTCTTGAAGAATTAGATTCAGCCGTCTGTTATTGTAGGCACATCGATGTTACATTTGCACACCCCTAAACATGACATGGAACAAAACGGTCATTGGTTACCTTGCATGTCAGTCAGTCAACGTCAACTTGGGCGGTCCTGACCAATTGAAGCTGTGATAGAGTACAGACCTCCTGCCGTCAGTCTGAAGGTATCGCCTCCCGAGATCACCCCAACTTCAGCCATGTGAGTTTTCAAATGGCTCATCTGAAAAATAAGAAGAACTTTACATAAAACACTTCCTCTAAGAGTTATAAAACATTGTTAAACCCCAAAAATCTCAAATGTGTCTAAGGCATAATATATAGCCAGTAAATAATAGGGTTTAACGGTAACACGTATTCGTATTGAACCGTTTGGTACGAGGCTTTCAGTTTGGTATGTATTTCAAACCAAATGATTTGATGGACCATTTTCCGCAAACCAAAAATTATGCTAGTATTTGCACTGGCGCGACCACCACAACACTGCCCAACTGATGCAAACGTGATGAAAAGCGGAACGAAAACTGCGCAACTAATTTTGTGCTTAACGAACCGTTACGGGTTTGGACCAAATAAAATAACCTTTGTTATCCCTATTCGTAACTACTACAATATTACATTTAATTTTCTTTACAATGAGCTTTATATGCTACTGAAAAACTTTTTTTTACAAGTTTTTGCTTTATATGCTGCTAAGAAGAGTCAAGTATAGGCTCCATCATTGTTCAAATTAAAAAAAAGATACTTTATGATGTTAGTTTTAATAAATGATACAAATTTGGAAATCAAGGAAATTTCTCTGGCATTTCATTCTTTTTGCTGTATCGAAAACATACCGAACCGTGTCACCACTGTATCATATCGAACCGTGCATTTTGTGAACCGTTACACCCCTAGTAAATAATGCAAAATAATCATGGACAGGTTGATCAGGGTCCCAGCAGCTACTGACCACTAAATATGTTGAACGTGAAATATTGATTTGAGTTTATTTTGTAATCATGTAATATATCATTAAAAATATGCAAGAATACCAAATAATTTCATTCCAATAACAATTTATCAGAAATCAATATTTAAGGCCCCAGACTACAGATTTTTTTTTTACTTTTTTACTTCTGTTAGGGTTAGTTCTTACTAGGTATTAATTATCTATAGAGGGAATGCATTGACGTGACTTTCCCGCCGGAACAAACCCCCTCAGCCGACTGAGTGGCAAAAGACCTGCTACGTGACTGGATTTAAATAGGGGGAACTGCGAAAATGGGACTAAAACGAACAATTTTAGCAAATTTCAACTAAATGTTGGACTCAAATTAGTGTTCCTTACAACTTACGAAAGATCCAGTGATCCATGGATATTGACATGCAGACAGGAATCGTGTTGCCTGACATTTATGTTTGCCTGATTTCGACACCGGGGAAATAAAAGCAATATAGACCTAAACATAAAGCAAATTTGCCTGTGAACGCTTTATATAAATACAATATTGGTAGGTCTAAATCCAGTTAATCACTTATATGAGTGTTATATATAGCCTATATATATCATCATATCGTCCAGCCCTAAAACTTTATAGGTTTTTTGGTCAGTGTTTACTAAAAAACATCCAATAATGCAGAAAATGCAATGATAAATATTTAATTGATGAGTTGTTAATATATATACAACAATACAAATTATATGGGTATGGTTTTACACCTAAATTCAGCATATTGACACAAAATGATAACTGCAAATCCACCTTTGGCTGACTGGAGTCCCAGTTGTTCTGTGAATTGCAGCGATCCATTTGCTCCTCTTTCTATAGCAGTCTGTAAAATATACCTTGCGATTTTTTGTCAAATCTAGTTGTACAGTCAATCGCAAATCTCTTTCCCACTTTATTTGTGTGTTGTGTTTTGTTTTTCGTGTCATTCACGCTGAACACATACAGCCGCTCAAGTCTTTTTGCCACTCACTTGAGGAACTGCAGACACTCCGGCTGACGGTGACGTCACGCGCATACCCTCTATTGTATAGTTGTATTTTTTTCTATTTAGTGTGACTTTATGTATGGTAGAGCACTTTGGCTCAACCATGAGTTGTGTTAAAATGTGTTATTCCATATCAGTGAACCCCTGTGTCCCCATAATAATAGTGCCTCATTAAAGCAGGCTTTTGTCAAAAACACACACACACACACCGATTCTTCAGACAAGTCAAACATCAAGAACATCATCCTCATGATGATGATGTCCTCATAAAACAGATGTCCTCATAAATCGGTGTAAGTCACACACAAACTGGCCAATACTAATATAGAAAACTCATAATTTGTGCTTGTAAAATATAATCTTTCTTTATTTTATTTATTTATAAAGCACCTTTTACACAACTCATGGTTGATTTTACAATACACATTAAGTCAAACTGATGTTAGCTAACCCTTAACCATAATCCTACCCTAAACCATAACCCTAACCCAACTGAAGTAAAGTTATGGTAAAAACCTGAAGTCTGGCGGCCCAGCACAGTCTAATCTGCCCTGCCAGATTCATAATGAACCAAAAATATTTTTAACTATTTCTCAAAGGAAAGTCGTACTAAAGTAGTAAGTTTAGTAACTATCTCTGGCCAAACTATTTAAAATGGCAGGGTTATTCTTATACTCCATTTGGCGTGTGCATTGATGACGCAGTGAATAACCCAACCCAAACCCTAACCCAATTAGCAGTCGTTATTGTTTTTATGTCATATTTTAGTATTGCCTCGGCTCGCCTTAGCTCGCTCAGAACCTTGCTGGAGGTGATACAAAAAAAAAGTACCTAAAAGCAGGAACGGGTTCAACCTTTACACAGTGGAAAACCAAACAAAGGCGAGCTGAGCCGAACTGCTACTGTGTAGTGGAAAAGCACCATTAGACTGTGCTGGGCCGTCAGACTACAGGTTTTACCATAACTCTACTTACTTCAGTTAGGGTTAGGGTTATGGTTAGGGTTAGGATTATGGTTAGGGTTAGCTAACATCAGTTTGACTTAATGTTGTATTGTAAAATCAACCATGATTGTGTTAAAATGTGCTTTATAAATAAATAAAATAAAGAAAGATTATATTTTACAAGCACAAATATGAGTTTTCTATATTAGTATTGGCCAGTTTTGTGTGTGACTTACACCCGATTTATGAGGACATCTGTTTTATGAGGACATTCAACATTATAAGATGTTTGACTTGTCTGAAGAATCGGTTGTGTGTGTGTTGTTTGACAAAAGCTTGCTTTATGAGGACACTAGTTATTATAGGGACACAGGGGTGCACTGATATGGAATATTAAAATTGATCCTAATAACCCATAACTTGTAGCTCATTGTGGCCAATACTGATATAGAGAACTCATATTTGTGTAAATATTTTTGGTTTATTATGAATCTGGCAGGGCAGATTAGACTGTGCTGGGCCGCCAGACTACAGGGTTTTTTTTTACTTTTTACTTCTGTTAGGGTTATCTTCTTACTAGGTATTAATTATCTATTGTATAGTTGTATTGTTTTTCTATTTAGTGCGACTTTATGTATTGTAGAGCACTTTGGCTCAACCATGAGTTGTGTTAAAATGTATTATTCCATATCAGTGAACCCCTGTGTCCCCATAATAACTAGTGTCCTCATAAAGCAGGCTTTTGTCAAACACACACACACACACGATTCTTCAGACAAGTCAAACATCAAGAACATCATCTCATGATGATGATGTCCTCATAAAACAGATGTCCTCATAAATCGGGTGTAAGTCACACACAAACTGGCCAATACTAATATAGAAAACTCATATTTGTGCTTGTAAAATATAATCTTTCTTTATTTTATTTATTTATAAAGCACCTTTTACACAACTCATGGTTGATTTTACAATACACATTAAGTCAAACTGATGTTAGCTAACCCTAACCATAACCCTAACCCTAACTGAAGTAAAGTTATGGTAAAACCTGAAGTCTGGCGGCCCAGCACAGTCTAATCTGCCCTGCCAGATTCATAATGAACCAAAAATATTTTTAACTAATTTCTCAAAGGAAAGTCGTACTAATAGTAGTAAGTTTAGTAACTATCTCTGGCCAAACTATTTAAAATGGCAGGGTTATTCTGGATACTCCATTTGGCGTGTGCATTGATGACGCAGTGAATAACCCTAACCCAAACCCTAACCCAATTAGCAGTCGTTATTGTTTTTATGTCATATTTTAGTATTGCCTCGGCTCGCCTTAGCTCGCTCAGAACCTTGCTGGAGGTGATACAAAAAAAGTACCTAAAAGCAGGAACGGGTTCAACCTTTACACAGTGGAAAACCAAACAAAGGCGAGCTGAGCCGAACTGCTACTGTGTAGTGGAAAAGCACCATTAGACTGTGCTGGGCCGTCAGACTACAGGTTTTACCATAACTCTACTTACTTCAGTTAGGGTTAGGGTTATGGTTAGGGTTAGGATTATGGTTAGGGTTAGCTAACATCAGTTTGACCTAATGTGTATTGTAAAATCAACCATGAGTTGTGTAAAATGTGCTTTATAAATAAATAAAATAAAGAAAGATTATATTTTACAAGCACAAATATGAGTTTTCTATATTAGTATTGGCCAGTTTGTGTGTGACTTACACCCGATTTATGAGGACATCTGTTTTACGAGGACATCAACATTATAAGATGTGCACTGATATGGAATATTAAAATTGATCCTAATAACCCATAACTTGTAGCTCATTGTGGCCAATACTGATATAGAGAACTCATATTTGTGTAAATATTTTTGGTTTATTATGAATCTGGCAGGGCAGATTAGACTGTGCTGGGCCGCCAGACTACAGGTTTTTTTTTTTACTTTTTACTTCTGTTAGGGTTATCTTCTTACTAGGTATTAATTATCTATTGTATAGTTGTATTGTTTTTCTATTTAGTGTGACTTTATGTATTGTAGAGCACTTTGGCTCAACCATGAGTTGTGTTAAAATGTGTTATTCCATATCAGTGAACCCCTGTGTCCCCATAATAACTAGTGTCCTCATAAAGCAGGCTTTTGTCAAACACACACACACCGATTCTTCAGACAAGTCAAACATCAAGAACATCATCTCATGATGATGATGTCCTCATAAAACAGATGTCCTCATAAATCGGGTGTAAGTCACACACAAACTGGCCAATACTAATATAGAAAACTCATATTTGTGCTTGTAAAATATAATCTTTCTTTATTTTATTTATTTATAAAGCACCTTTTACACAACTCATGGTTGATTTTACAATACACATTAAGTCAAACTGATGTTAGCTAACCCTAACCATAATCCTAACCCTAACCATAACCCTAACCCTAACTGAAGTAAGTAGAGTTATGGTAAAACCTGTAGTCTGACGGCCCAGCACAGTCTAATGGTGCTTTTCCACTACACAGTAGCAGTTCGGCTCAGCTCGCCTTTGTTTGGTTTTCCACTGTGTAAAGGTTGAACCCGTTCCTGCTTTTAGGTACTTTTTTTTGTATCACCTCCAGCAAGGTTCTGAGCGAGCTAAGGCGAGCCGAGGCAATACTAAAATATGACATAAAAACAATAACGACTGCTAATTGGTTAGGGTTTGGTTAGGGTTATTCACTGCGTCATCAATGCACACGCCAAATGGAGTATCCAGAATAACCCTGCCATTTTTAAATAGTTTGGCCAGAGATAGTTACTAAACTTACTACTATTAGTACGACTTTCCTTTGAGAAATTAGTTAAAAATATTTTTGGTTCATTATGAATCTGGCAGGGCAGATTAGACTGTGCTGGGCCGCCAGACTTCAGGTTTTACCATAACTTTACTTCAGTTAGGGTTAGGATTATGGTTAGGGTTAGCTAACATCAGTTTGACTTAATGTGTATTGTAAAATCAACCATGAGTTGTGTAAAAGGTGCTTTATAAATAAATAAAATAAAGAAAGATTATATTTTACAAGCACAAATATGAGTTTTCTATATTAGTATTGGCCAGTTTGTGTGTGACTTACACCCGATTTATGAGGACATCTGTTTTATGAGGACATCATCATCATGAGATGATGTTCTTGATGTTTGACTTGTCTGAAGAATCAGTGTGTGTGTGTGTGTTTGACAAAAGCCTGCTTTATGAGGACACTAGTTATTATGGGGACACAGGGGTTCACTGATATGGAATAATACATTTTAACACAACTCATGGTTGAGCCAAAGTGCTCTACAATACATAAAGTCACACTAAATAGAAAAACAATACAACTATACAATAGATAATTAATACCTAGTAAGAAGATAACCCTAACAGAAGTAAAAAGTAAAAAAAAACCCTGTAGTCTGGCGGCCCAGCACAGTCTAATCTGCCCTGCCAGATTCATAATAAACCAAAAATATTTACACAAATATGAGTTCTCTATATCAGTATTGGCCACAATGAGCTACAAGTTATGGGTTATCAGGATCAATTTTAATATTCCATATCAGTGCACCCCTGTGTCCTCATAAAGCAGGCTTTTGTCAAACACACACACACACCGATTCTTCAGACAAGTCAAACATCAAGAACACCTTATGATGATGATGTCCTCATAAAACAGATATCCTCATAAATAAGGTGTAAGTCACACACTAACACTGACACACATGAACATTACCTTGGGTAACATTAACCTTTAAAATAATCCAACAAATTAAAATAGTTAATGTGAAGTTTCCATACCGTGCATCACTTGGCCACTCAGGATCACCATGATTATATGTGATCTCTTCATTGTTTGGAGCAAACAAGCATAGCTGAGGTTTTCCATCCACAGCGATAGTCTTCATCCTGCAGGTCGGGTTCATATGGTCAACCAAGGGAACCGTCATCTCGGGCTGATCAACACTAAACAAATGACAGTTCAAGCTTGAACAGACAAATTCACACAAAATTATGTCAAAATGAAACACAGTTGGTCTTAAAGGGATACTTCAGGATTTTAGCATTAAGCTTTGTATCAGTAGAAAGCCAGTAGTATTTTCGAATTACCGTGCTTCTCCCCCCTCATATCCCCCTCATATAGGGTTGGGAACCGAGAACCGGTTCTTATCCAGAACCGGTTGTGTTTTTGAAAAAATACCGGAACCGTGTAAAATTCCTAAGTTTCGGTTCAGTCCGTAACTTTTTGTGTGTTCAGAATTTACAATATGTATACAAAGAGCGAGTGCATCATGAATGCCTTTTATTAAAATCGTGTTTTTGTCTTATCTTGAATCACTACGTTAAGCCTGTAATAAGCGTTAAAGGGTTAGTTCACCCAAAAATGAAAATTCTGTCAGTATTTACTCACCCTCATGTTGTTCCAACCCCGTAAGACCTTCGTTCATCTTCGGAAAACGAATTAAGATATTTAAGATATTAAAATCGCTCCTGCATACAGTCCATAGGCTTCTTGAGGGACTGGCTCTTGCTGTCCTCGAAAAGTCATAAAAGACATCGTTAAAATAGTCCAAGTGACTACAGGGGCTCAATCTTAAGTTTATCAAACGACGAGAACACTTTTGTGCGCAAAAAAACAACAAAATAACGATTATTTCAACTATTCGTTTATTTCTCCCTCTGCGCGAGTCAGCTAACTAGTTAATAGCGTAAGCTTCTGTTATTGTACGTTCACACGCATCACACACACATGACCAGCGTCGACAATAGTGAGCCTACGTGTGACGTAGCTCTACGCAATCACACTACGTTAACGGACTATAGGCTTATGGAGAAGGAAGTGAATAGTTGAAATAAAGTCGTTATTTTTGTTGTTTTTTTGCGCACAAAAGTGTTCTCGTCGTTTGATAAACTTAAGATTGAGCCCCTGTAGTCACTTGGACTATTTTAACGATGTCTTTTATGACTTTTCGAGGACAGCAAGAGCCAGTCCCTCAAGAAGCCTATGGACTGTATGCAGGAGCGATTTTAATATCTTAAATATCTTAATTCGTTTTCCGAAGATGAACGAAGGTCTTACGGGGTTGGAACAACATGAGGGTGAGTAAATACTGACAGAATTTTCATTTTTGGGTGAACTAACCCTTTAATACTCTGACTTCTTGTTTAGACTGGCCGGCGGATCGCAGCTGCTGCGGGGTAGCCCAATGCCTGCGCGACTCGCATGGTGACTCGTCATGGACATAAACAGAGAAAAGTAGCTCCGGCAACAATGTTCTTCCGCAAGACGCATGCAGTTCTGTTAGAGCGCCGATTTATCCAGTAATGAAAGAAGTAAAGTCTTTATGAATCAATCATTCAAACCGTTTAAAAAAATAATCTGTTCTTTACACATCTTGCATGTGTGTTCAAGCATATTCTACCCCTTCTGGGAGGGTATTCTTCACTGTTGGAGATACAATAAGCAAGGAGAGGTCCTATAGCCTATTATTCTAGAATGCAGAATTTTTTTTTCTTCAGAATTTTATTTTTTTGTGCAAAAATTGCTTGATAATATGTTCAATTTATTTACATTACCAGTCTGTTAAACTCATTTGTCAAGTACTATAAGAAATAAACAGAAAAAGGATTGTGGATTTATCTCTTACTAATATTTTTTAATTAATGGGAACCGGAACCGGAATCGTTTGGCGGAACCGGAATCAGAACCGGAAAATTTGCCACGATTCCCAACCCTACCCTGATATGAGAGAAAAATTCATTTTTAGTCTGGAAAAAATCCTCCGATAACGCAAAAATCGTCATTTTGCATCATCGGAGGATTTTTGGGCCAGAGGCTAAAGACTACAGTCAGTGTTCAGCATGTTTTCACCACGCCCATATGGGGCGGGATCTCACTGACCGAATGTAAAGATCGTGTCAGCCGTCTTTCTGTAGAAGCTAAGCTAACGGCTCTTGCCTCTTGGTCTGTATAGAAAGTTTGTATAGTAGGCTAATCACGATGGTGTAAGGTAGTTTTGAAGTTGAAATGGCAGAAGGGGATTTCAAAGATCTGTTGAGAGAATCTGATGCTCGCGGGAGCCTGTTGCGGGAGATGGAGGAACAAGAGTCGGCCGGAGCAAGACAGACTCCAGCTGGGGCGACCGAGAATCTGATGCTCGCGGCTATCTGTACGAGCCGCAATACAGCGATAAACAGTTGCGGGAGATGGAGGAACAAGGCCGGAGCGAGACCTGAGCCCAGCCAGACTCGAGCTGGGCCACGTGAGTGCTTTCGCTCTGCACCTATGGAAACAGATATAGAGTCCTATTGCTGTCGCGAATCTCAGCGATGCCATTACGTCTGGTGAGATCACTGAATCCGCAGAGCTTTGAGAGTAAAAGTGTTAATAATTATTTTTTTAATTAAAAGTTATAACTCACATTGGTTGTGGTTCTTTTAATAAATCTTTAGTGTTAGTATGGATTAGCCTAGACAATGTATTAACTTAGAGAAATAGTGATTTCAATTGGAGGAAAACAGTTCATAAGCAGAGCTACTAAGCTACTGTGTTGACATGGTCCTGCCTGACATCATATTTTTACTGTGAAAGTCTAAGTTGTGTTATATACATTAGGCTAGTACATCCCGGTACAATGCAATTTAGCACCATTTCGATGTAAATTTATCAAATAACTCACGATGTATCAAAGCAAGCGTAGTTGTATTAATTTTTTGGATTCTGCCGCCTGTAACTGGTAGGCGTGGTTTGGGAGTGGCCTCGTAAGGGCAGCAAAGCAAGTGCATTCTGGGAGTTGTCATCTTTCAGCCACATGAGTAAAAAATACATTTTCTCAGTCTAGAATGCTTCAATTTCAAAAATAATTTAATATTTCTACTATATAAATGACCAATTTTAAATACACATTTATCTTCCCAGAGGTGAAGTTTCCCTTTAAGTGAACATAAACAGTTGAAAATAAAACACATGTGTATGCTGGTCGCGCTCATATGTAAATTGCGTAAGCTTATTTCATCAATTAGATCGAAAAAGATCTACCCTCACCACGAAGAAATCTGTGGTTAAAGTGGCAAAAGACGGATTAAAACACCAGGTGTAAACAGGAATGTGTGTCCCTCGTCCACTCGTGATCGAATCTGGGCTATAAGTACAAAGGTTACATACGCATCAAACACTTGTACATACCAGAGGAGTTTTCCATCGTAATGAAACTCGTCATGATGAGATACTCTTTGCCTTCGCTCTCGTTCTTCTTCTTTTCTTAGTCTCCTCCATATTCAAGCAGGAAATCTCCCTTATGAAACTCAGAGCAACTGAACACTCCTCTCCCTACACAACAACAGAGAAGAAGAAACACCATCACTGTAAATAACATATCATGTACATGACACAGCTTTATTAAACACATTAATTTCACTTAAACTTCACTTCACTTCACTTAAACTTAACTCTATCAAACCATTTAACTCACCTTTAAAATCATTGATGAATCTGTCTTTGTTCTGAAGTGAAAACTACGCCTCATCCAGTGGCTTGGGCTCTCAGAGTGTCTGCTGTCATAGAAAAGACCCTCATTAATACTAGTCAAAAGACCCTCATTAATACTCAATATTGCATTTCATTTGACATATTCAGCAGGTGTGTTTTCAGTATAAACATTAAGACTGACAGTTCTATTAGTACAGATTATATGGTATTACATGCAGGAGGAATAAGAGCACATGACCAATCTCTAAAGCCAGCAGAACTGCAGTAATATTTACAGTAGCATGTCAGGGATACTGTACTGGGGAAACCTCGCCCCTTCACAGAGTCATGACATCTCCTTATTTTGATCATGGCTAGCCTATTTTATGTTACAATTACAATTATATTGCAAACTAAAACTAGTTAAACTGTCAAACATCTCATATTCTCTCCTGACAGTCTGTAAACAGAATGGCGATCACTGTAAAGGTCGTTAGCATCGTTAGCATCTGGCGCTAGCGGCTTCATTACAGTAAACCGAGCAGCAAAGAGCTTACAAGACATGCACAAACAAGACAAACTGACCTACAAGCTATTAAACAGCAGTAAAGCTTACCTTTCCAGTAATAGTTGCTTTAAACAGGTCCAAATCACAGGTGTCTTCTCAGCTGCAGTTTCCACCCGGTCCAAACAGGAAATAAACGCGACGCTAAACTATGATTATTAGACCATATGGATTATAATAAACGATATTGTAGAATAATAATACCATTATGTATGTAAATAGCCATCTATGATATAGTCTATGATATAGCAGTTAATAGTGTGGTTAGGGTCGCGTTTCTCCATTAAACTGATTGCGAACAGCTTTCAAGCTATTTTCATTTTTCATAATATGATATTTACGGATTATTTATCATTGCAGGGTCACTCTGCATTTATATATTTCATTGACAATTGATAAATTATAAAACAATAATGTTTAAATAGTTAGTAAACTGCATTAACTCGTGTGAGGTAAACACATTAACACAGTGGTCTGACAAAACCCGAAATTATGAGGACTTCCGGCGGTCACAGCCAATCACAAACTGCGATTTCATACACAAGTGTGAATATTCATGAGGAGGTGCAGTACCCCAGACCCACCTACAGGGGCACTGTCTCGATACACACGTTTTACACAAAATCATGTAAATGTGAACTATGGGGACTTGTGGAGAAATTTTGGATTTGAGCTCCCTCTAGGTATAGAAGCACTTCTACACTGTTAGAATTATGAGGACACCGGTCATGTCCCCATAATTCAAAATGTCCCCATAGTGTTGTGTGTATTCATGTGAAATGTCCTCGTAATTCACAAAAACCAACACACACACACACACACACACACACACACACACAGTATATATATATACAGTGTACAGTGTGTGTATGTGTATAAAAAAATATGATTAAAAAAATGATAAAAACTATCTATCCTTAATCTTAATCTGAAGCAAATGAATGTGAACATGAATGTGATTTGCAGTAACTCTAGGTATTACCTTGAGCGGCGCTGAATGCGATGGACAGTAAAATCGCGAGCACTACGAGATCCATCTGAAGATCAGTGAGAGTCCCTGTAAATCCTGTGAGATCTGAGACTCTGATCACTCTTATATCTGCTGCTAGAGCTCCTCCTATTACGAGATGATGATCGGCGTATTCATCAGCGTGTGACAGACAATAAACCTTTCTCCTACATTCAGCCTCAAGCATTTAGTGATTTTCATTCATGTGTTCAAAAACAGAGACCTGTAGTGTATGAAACAATCTTTTATTCAATCACCTAAAAACAGCATAATTTACATTGAATAAAATTACAACCAACATTAAGAATTAAGTTAAAATCACTGTAGTTTTCACCGTAACTACATTAACATTTCACATTTACATAAACCTAAAAAAAAAAAATGGATAGCAGCATTAAGAACATCTGTAGTTTCGTTCTCCACAGTTTCATGCATCTGAAAGAGACAAGAAATGCATTTGATGAAATAAATGAATTCACTCAAAACTGCATTCTAAACTGCTTTTATAATGAATTTGGGCATTAAAACTGCAAAAATGTGGAAAAAATACACCACTAAATTAGATTTTTGTGAAATATTTGAGCATATAATATACTAAAAATGATCTTTATCCACTCGCACGGCATCAAATGAAGTTGCATTCAGTTAGAGAGCATTTACTGTCTGTCAGTACACTGGAGGGAACTTGAGATGCTTTGGATCTTCTTTTGTGTTTCAAGGCATTTGTGTTGTTCATGGATGAAAGACATTGAAAAGGGTTAAGAAAAGAAATATAAAAAAGATTGATGATTCAGGACTCACCCGTCCTCTTCCATGAGTTCAAGGGTTTGCCGGAGGGCACTTGGATCTGTTCTTGGGTCTGCTGGAAGTGCTGGGAAAGACATGGGATTTGAAACAACATGTAAGAGATTACATCACAGCCGGGTGACACTACAGTCTAATAAATCATGCAAGTTCAATATACTTTTGTTTGAAGAAAACAAACACACATCAAAATGTCAATCCACAAGCTCTTCATCTCACACGAACGAGGTGGCATTTTCCCTACAGCGCAGAAATGAGGCTTTTCTGGCAGCTTTTCTGACAGGTTAACAGTTCATTACGCAATCGCATTGACATATTGTGTGATTTTGTTTGAAAAACAGGATCTAAATTAGGGACCAATAGAGAAACTAAAATAACAAAGAAATATTATACAGATCAGGGTTATTATCGTATAAATTGTATATATTTTACATGTTAAAAACTTGTTACTTGAAATAAAATATATATACGTTAACTGAAGTGCTAAAATAACTTAAAACTAAAAAAGGTAATTAACAAAACTTGGTAGACACAGTTCAAAACTAAACTAATTCAATTAAAATGAAAACAGAAAAATAAAGTCTAATTCAAAATATAAAAATATATCAATGGTACTAAATAACCTAGTTTATTTAATAAATTATAATTAATTTTGCATATTACAATTAATCATTTTACAATGTAAATAATATAAATAAATAGTATATACTATTAGTTTAACCCCCTGGGGACCAAGGTGTACTTGGGGTCCTTGAGATGTTCTGACATGTCCTGACATTTGAACTTTTTTCAGTTGCTTATAAACATATAATATTAATATATTTATCACAAACAGGGCTACCATCATATGTGAGCAACATGTATGTACATGTTTGTATTTTTGAGAGAATATTGTTTATGCGTGGTTATTGAAAAAATAAAAATGAAAGTTTCTGAAATAAGGCCACAAGACACATACGAAATATGCGGCCACAAGACTTTTGACTAATGGATGTTGTTGCCTAGAGTTTTTTCTTCACAATGATCTAAAAAATTATCCTGCCTAATCATTCACATAAAACTGTGAATTGGGTTATATTGTAAAAAACATTTTTTGTTTGCCAAGGCAATATACGAATGGGCATGAACAGGCCAGCCCCATCATGAATAATTAAAGAGACAAAGACACGCATAATAATGAGCATTTCATTCAGGTGAGTCAGACAAGAAAAAAATGAAAGGACAACATACATACAGTAAATATATATATATATGTATTATATCAAAATATAAATGAAAGTCAAAAACCCATTTTTAGTCCAAATCCTGGTCAAATAGGTTATATGGGGCATTGTGTAGAATTGGTTCAAAGTTAGAGTTGGAAACATCTTGAAAAGAAAATTATTTTTCCATATAAAGTATTATTTTTAAAGTAGGAATTAAAGTAGGATTTACATTTTATAATACATATTTCAAAGTTAAGGATTCATTATTTTGATATGTGCGTTGCATTAGCTTGCATTGTATAGACAATTTCACAAGATGTAAACAACACTGGTCCAGAAGCACTTCCTGTTTCAGTTTAACACTACACAAAAGCTGGGATAAAACCAACAGAACATTTAAAACTGAATCAAAAAGATAAACAACATCTTTAAGATGTTTTCTTTACATGTGAAATAAAGAAAACAGTTACAAACTGAAACAGGAAGTGTTTCTGGACCAGTGTTGTTTACATCTAACAAAATGGTCTATAACAGTTGATTAGTTTATTTTTGACAAAACATACTATATATTTAACATATGAGCAGAAACTGTCTACAACGTTTTTACTATAAAATAAACATCAAATAAGTTTTTGTTAATCTATTTCGTCTTTAACAGTAGGCTATGATGTTAAATGAATGAACACATGAACCTCAACATTAGCGTTTGAATAGTGCACGCTCTCAGTGGGCGGGGTCACATTAACACGTCATACGCTATAATTAGGTGAAAGGAAAAAGACTGACATCTCTCTTTTCATACAGATTACACTTTTTTATATAAATTACTTCATTTAAAAGAAGAGAATTTCAGCTTCATAAAGAGAAATCTTTCGTGTCTCTGTGACAAGCATTTAATGAGTTACAGTTTATTTTTCAGACGCGTTTCAGAAAGATTTTTGCCGAGACAGAGTGAGCTCAAAGCGCACCCTGTTAATTTTATTTATTTTACAAAAACACAAGGTTTTGATGTTAATAAGAGTGTTCACAAAAAAGAAGACCCTCTGTAGTTTATAATCATGTATTGATTTTATTTATATGACCATTAATGATAGAGTATTTGGCACGTTTTTGGTCGTCAGGGGGTTAAACAGTATATATATATATATATGAAGAGTTCAGATGCAAAAGCCTCTAAATGCCATTTGAAATTTTCTTCTTTAATGATGATTTTTATCAAACTTGTATATTTAAGTTCAGTAATTTCACTTAAATAACAATTAATAGGTAATTATCATTGCCATTCAAGTGAAATTACTGAACTTAAATATACAAGCTTGATAAAAATCATCATTAAAGAAGAAAATTTCAAATGGCATTTAGAGGCTTTTGCATCTGAACTCTTCATATATATATATATATATTGTTTTTTTCCTTCCTCAGTGTTATATATAGCAGGTCCCCACTGTGACAACTTACCCCATATAGTGCGACAACATGCCCTGAGGGTGTTGCCCATTAAGGTGCAAATTTTATAATAGCTTGATTTAAATTTTCCCCTAGTCTAAGCTTGATGTTTCTATGTATACAAACTGAATAAAAACGTGTAAACCAACGCTGGGAAACATTCACTGGAGTAAAAAGTGTGCCGGTCAATATATCTTCTATACGTGTTGTGTGTTTGTACCTGTTGGATCTGCTGGATTTCCCTCATGGCCAGTCGTATGGACGGGTAGAGTCGAGGGAACGGCCTGCTCTCGTGGTTGGGATCGTCGTCCTTGTGCTCCGTCTGTGCGGCCTCGATCCGTCTGCGCCGGTCAGATATGCGCTTGAGCACCGGGGGTTTGTGCGACTCAACGTTTGAGTTTCCTCCCGGCGGCAGGAAGAGTCTCTGCATCTGTACGTGCACATTATTCGAACACGTGTCCATGTCCTCAGCATGAAACGAAGCGCTGCTCTCTGATGTAAGACTTTTGAGCTCCTCATAGTCTGGCTCCCGATCACACATCTGTAGACACACACACACCACACTCCATCTTTATATCACACAAAAGACGAGCAGTGAAAGCCCTTCCACGAGTGAAGCACACCCACCTGACCACAGGGCACCGTGAGCAGCTCCATGAAGGGCTTGATGCCCACCTGACTGTGGTACTGGACCAGGTCTGTGAGGGAGGAATGAGCCCGGTCCTCCCCGAGAATCACATACTTGCCATTGTTCTGCATCTCCACCATGTAGTGACGGCAGCGGTCAGCACCCCTGTTATGGAGAAGACATGTTTCAAATAAATCAATAAAATAAGCAACAATAATTAATTAAACAAACAAAAACAACAATAATATAAATTAAATTAAAATTGTGCATATTAGTTTTTGCACATTATAATAAATTATTATTGTCATTATTCACTTATACTATTTATTCTTATGTATTCATTATATAATAATTTATATAATTACACTTTTAAAATATTTGATGATAAAGTATAATCATCAATATTATTCTATATTTTATTTATTGTTACTAAATTTGACTATTTATAATAATAATAATAAAAAATGTTAAACATAGATAAAATGTGTTTTATATAGACAAATAAAAAATTTGAAGTGTCACGTTAGTTTTGAGTTTTGGTTCATGTTAATGTTTTAATGTCTTTTATTTTGTAGTTTTCATAGTCATGGACTGAATCCAAAATTGCCCCCTATACCCTCAAATAGGCCATTATTTGAGTCAACTCATTACTGAGTGCACTCATTCAATCCCATATGCATCACTGTCCGAATTCGCTCACTTATTTTCATTCACTCCTTCAAGTCAACTGTATTAGTGGGGAATAATTACTGCCGAAAGCTAGTTAATTTAGTCGGTCAAGTTTTAAATATGGATCATTTTCTTACACGAACGCATCACTTCAGAAGGCCTTTATAAACCCCCCCTCCCGGAGCCGTGTGGAGCACTTTTATCATGAATGGATGCACCTTGATGGACTATATAATAAAAAATATACAGCCGATCACTGGCAATATAAAGCTTGGAAGAGCCAGGATATTATTTCATATAATACTCTGATTGTATTTGTCTGAAAGAAGAATGTCATATACACCTAAGATGGCTTCAGGGTGAGTGAATTTGCATTTGCTAAACAACATGATGCAGGACGTGAAAATGATAACTGCGTCAGGCTGAAAACAGCAAAACACACTTGTATGTATGATAGGGCCCTAAGTCTATGGTCCTCTCTCTCTCTCTCTATATACAGTATATATATATATTATTTATTATTTATTTTTATTTTTTTTACAGGGGGGTTGTTATACCCTCGTGTGAGCAAAGTCAGTACGTTTTAGTCCAATTCGGCAGTGGTGGAGGAAGTACTGAATCTCAGTACTTAAGTAAAAGTACAAATAACCAGATAAATATTTACTTTAGTAAAAGTAGAAGTAACACAATGACAACCATACTTAAGTAAAAAGTACCTGATTTTAAATGTACTTTAAGTATTAAAAGTAAAAGTACTTGCATAACACTTTATTCTCTTAATGTCTATTTTCTAATGATTAATAAAACATTTAATTCTAACTCATTCAACCTAATACTCCTATAATGATGTTCAATAATGATGGGAAAAAAATTGTTGTCACCATTTCTGAAACAAGCTTGCAATTAGGCAACATACACATCATGCTTATCCTTACTATTTGTTAATAACTATGTTTGGCAGAAAACGTGATTAATGTATGGTGTAATTCTGAACCTCTTGGCTTGCCATAATCCTAACCAAACATATTTTACACACGGTGCATTTCCCATGCACGTACAGACAAATTTTCGCGTATAAATCGCACTATAAACGCACTGCGTGCGAGACGCATTTAGTGTGACCGGGTTGATAAATCTATGGCAACCAAACGTCACTGAGACAAACGTGCAACGGTCAGATTACATTTTGGCAGGGGAAAAACTTATCAGAAAATGTAACAGAAGTTGGAGAAATGTAGTGGAGTAGAAAGTACAATAATTGCTGCAAAATGTAATAAAGTAAAAGTAAAAAGTATGCACTATTTATTCTACTTAATAAAGCAAAGATACGTGAAAAATGTACTTAAGTAAAGTAACAAAGTATTTGTACTTCGTTATATTCCACCACTGCAATTCGGTAACATTTGACCATGAATACAATGTAGGGGCTAACACAATAAAATCACCATTAGTGATTGACTAGCATGTTGATTTTGACATATATAATTCAGTTTTGCCATAGCATACAGTAGCATGTACCTAAAGGTCAGAGTGTAACCCTCCCGGCTTTCACCGACACGCACCAAGAAGCAGCCGAGAGGTTTGTCGATCAGGAGATCTTCTGCTTGTCTGAGAAACCAAAGTTACAATCAGCACATAATACATATATTCCCATTTTCACTACGATAGAGAATTGATTGGACTAATCAATAGTTGATCAAAGCTGACCTGCGTGTGATCATGCCATGGAACCAGCTGGGGAAGGAACCGTCTCTGGTCAGCTTACGGACCTGCGTCTCTTTAAACCAGCGGATGGTGTTACTCTTTTTCAGGTGTTTCTCTTTAATACGCTCTTCGTCTATCGGCTGAAGCATCAGAGAAGCGTCCAGGTGGACGTTCCCATTCAGCTCGTTATCAAACGGAGTCGCCTGTCCACAAAAATTAGGTTTACAAAAATGAGTATGACACAAAGTCAGGGTTATTATTGTTAACAAAACCAACATTTAGTTTAACTGGAACTCAAATAGCTTTACTAAACTAAAACTGAAAAAAAAAACTATATATATATACATATATATATATATATATAAACAAATAATGACAAAATACAAAACCATGGAGCCCCACAAATTAATTCGTTCTCACAACCTACTAATTTTTCACAAAATTACGTACATTTTACGAATTTGTTTACTCGTTTTAAATTAATAGTGAGAAAAAAAATTAGTACAACGTGGCCACAATTTACTAAATCGAGGGAAACTAATTATAATATTGTGCTCACAATTTAGTGAAACGAGGGCCTGAATTAAATTGTGAAAACAATTTAGTGAAACGATGGAACGAATTATATTGTGCACACAATTTAGTGAAACGATAAACCAAATTATTATATCATGTCAACAATTTAGTGAAACGATGGAACGAATTATATTGTGCACACAATTTAGTGAAACGATAAACCAAATTATTATATCATGTCAACAATTTAGTGAAACGATGGAAAGAATTATTATACTGTATATCAAGCGCACAATTTAGTGAAACGAGGGAACAAATTATTCCCTTGGTTCCCTATATTGTGCGCATGAGATAAGTCAATATGAATTATCTCATGCGCACATTTTAGTGAAACGAGGGAATGAGTAAATTCAACGTGGCCACAATTTACTAGATCGAGGGAAACTAATTATTATATTGTCGACACAATTTAGCGAAACAAGGAAACACATTAGTAAATCATCATGGCCATGATATATATATTTTTGTCCACACGTCATATGAGGGTATGAGGCTCCGTACAAAACAAACATACTAAAACTGTAACTAAAATTAAAATGATCTGAAAATACAAAAATAAAAACTAATTCAATATAATATTAGATCAATGAAATTAAAATAATGCGTAAAGTAAAGAAGAAATGGCATTTGCAATTCATTTTAGGTTTGTGGTTGTTTGCATGTTAATGGTAATTTTGGTTTCAAGTCAACTTAATGGGGGACGAGATGTGACTTGGCACAAAAATAATTTTTAAGCTGGTAGGTTAAAGACGTAATCTCATTAATCGAGGTGCAGAATTTCACTGAATAAGTTATGGATGTCACACCTCAAAGAGCTTGCTGCGCGGCCGCGGGACAGGAGGCAGATGTGGAGCTTTCAGGACGCCACTCAGCACAGAGCGAGGCCTGGGCTCAGGCCTTTTCTTTCTCGGCAAGGGTACCGGTGGAGACGCTGGCCCTGCAAACACACACAGACACGACCTTAAAGGATTAAAATGAATGAAAATCACCCCATTATTTACCCACCCTCCTAGATGTATATTACTTTTTTCTTTCAGACGATATATATATATATATATAAAAAATATCCTGGCTTTTCCAAGTTTTATAACGGCAGTGGATTGCAACCAACAGATTGAAGCTCAAAAACATGCATCCATCCGTCATATACGAACTTCACGCAGCTACAGGGGGTTAATAAAGGACTTCTGAAGCAAAACTATGAGTTTGTGTAAGAAAAATACTCATATTTAATTTGTTACAAAATAAAATTCTAGTTTCCAGCCAAACACAGTCTACTTGCGCCTAAAGCGCAACTTATGCTGTCAGAAGTTGTGTAGTGCGACATGGTGTGTGAAGTTCGTTTATGAACTTCAATCTGTTGGTTGCAATCCACTGCCGTTATAAGACTTGGAAGAGTCAGGATATTATTTACTATAATTCCGATTGTATTCGACTGAAAGAAGAATGACATATACACCTCGGAATGAGTAAAATCATGGGCTAATTTTCATTTTTGGGTAATCTATCCCTTTAACACACTCGGGTGAGAAAAGAGTCCTTACGCAGGTTCTCCTGCTCCACTTGCAGACGTCTCTTCCTCTCGTCCTCCAGCTGCTGTCGTCTCCTCTCCTCCTCCTCGCGCTCCTCTCTCTCCCGCTGAGCCTGACGCTGCCTCCGTAGCTCTGCTAGCAATACCAGATACTTCCTTCTGCAGATCCTCATCCGGAAATCTAAAAAACAAGATGTGATGTAGTCAGGGGCAGTTCTAGGGTCAGTGGATATTCAGACTTCTTTAAAATGCAAATGAAGCCATTCTTTGACTTAAAGGGTTCGTTCACCCCAAAATAAAAATTCTGTCAGTAATTACTCACCCTTATGTTGTTCAACCCCGTAAGACTTTGTTCATCCTTGTTCACACAAATTAAGATATTTTTTATTAAATCTGAGAGCTGGATCACTCCTCCATAGCCTTCTTGAGAGATCAAAACTGGCCGGCCCAAAAGTTATGAAAGACATTGTTGAAATAGGCTGTGAGATTTCACGTAGTGATATTGCGCAAAGCTTCTAGGTTGCACGTAACACACAGTCTCCCAATTGGCCGACGCAGGTCATGTGTGTGTGTGATGCATGTGACGTACAAGCTAGAAGCTTTGCGCAGTTTCACTACATGAAATCTCATGGCCCACAGAGAAGAAAATAAAGTCATTATTTTTGTTTGTTTTTTTGCGCACAAAAAGTATTCTCGTTGTTTAATATATTTCAAGATTGAGCCACTGTAGTCACTCGGACTATTTTAACGATGTCTTTCATAACTTTTGGGACGGCTAGTTTCGATCCGTTAAAGGAGTAGTTCACTTTAAAAAAAAATAGTTTGCCGTTAATTTACTCACCCCCACGTCATCCAAGGTTTATTCAACGAACAAAACGAACGAATTGACTCGTAAAAAGATTCGTTCATTTTGATGAATGAGTTTGAACAGGAGAGTCACGAGAGCAAGGCGAGCATTTTATAAAACTTAAAATTTGTTATTATTTTTTTTAAATGAGCGATCGTTTCGCTTGATAAGACCCTTATTCATCGTCTGGAATCGTTTAAAGCCCTTTGAACAGTTTGCAGTTTGCACTGAAAGCGTCTTTTGGACCTTGAACCGTTTGGCTCCCATTGAAGTCCATTATATGGAGAAAAATCCTGGAATGTTTTCATCAAAAACCTTAATTTTTTTTCGACTGAAGAAAGAACGACATGGACATCTTGGATGACATGGGGGTGAGTAAATTATCAGCAAAAGTTTTTTTTTTTTTTTTTAAGTGAACTACTCCTTTAAGAAGCCTATGGAGGAGTATCCAGCTCTCAGATTAATCAGAAATATCTTAATTTGTGTTCTGAAGATGAATGAAAGTCTTACGGGGTTGAACAACATAAGGGAGAGTAATTACTGACTGAGTTTCCATTTTGGGGTGAACTAACCCTTTAATACTGGAATATTAGCCTTATTAGAAAATATCACGTCAAGAAAAAAAGAAAAGAAAAAAATGTCCTCCTAAGTTTGTCCCTCTGCAGCCTTTACGATTTGCTATACCTTTATTTACATAGCGCTTTATTCAATACAGATACAGATATTCAATACACACTGAGTGCGAAATTCACAGGCGAAATTTTCGCACGTTAAAAAAATAAATACAACCTCATGTTTTTTCAATCACGTTTACAAACTGTTACAAACTTTCATTCGTCATAAAAGTTTCGCATACGTAGCAAGCATTTTGAATGTTGTTTTGACAATTCAGAGCCACCGAAAAACGCATACGAAAATTTCGGGACCATTACAGTGAAAACAGGAAAATGATTCAATGATGCAAACAGGGCTGCATTTCCCAAAAGCATTGTAAGCCTAAGTTGATTGTAGAACAATTGCCACCAATGGTCTCTACAATCAAGCTTAAGCTTACGATGCTTTTGGGAAACCCAGCCCAGCTCTAAAAGTAAAAAAAGTGTAATTTTTCAGCTGAAGCTATAAATGTGACCATTATTAAAATATTAACAACATTTTTTACTTTATTAGGCTTTTTAAATTAGTCAAAATTCAAGGTAAAAGAATAAATAGCTTATATAATAGTCCTAATAAAAGAGAAGAAAAGAGCTTATGTTTTAAACTGCAGCTTTCGGTGAGATATTAGCTGCTTATTATGTCTGTCAAAGACAGAAGAATAAATTAGTGGATTTACTGCTGCACTTAAATGAAAACTAAACTCCTGAAACTTTGGAGTGTGTACGTGAGCACTTGTCTTCTTAGCAGCATGAAAAATAAAGCCTTTATTCATTCTGTGAATAGATTATAATCAGAAAGATATATAGATGTATATAATATGAAACTGACAATCATTGAATCGCGAGCCCACCGGTTCTGCAAAGAAAACTCTTTAGAATCAAATAATCTGAAACCATTGCAGTGAACCTCTTATCTGAAACAAGTTTAATAGCTTAATACAGTGGTGTGAATAAGTTTTTGCCCCCATGCTAAAGTTGCCTAAAAAGAGGAATAAAAAATCATCTTTTGGATATTGATCTTAATAATCTCTAGGTGTGGTGAATGGTGTTTGATGATGTGGGGATATTTTAATTCCAAAGGCCAAGGGAACTTTATCAGGATGCATATTATCCTGGATCCATGAAATAACTGCCTTTTAAAAATAAAAATCTGCCTGACTCTATGGGAATTTAACATAGGGGTGCCATGACTTATGCACCCTGTATTTTAAGGAAAAACATTTATTTATTTATGATACATTATTCATTCACAAAGAAAATTTGTGTCCTTAAAGGTTGGAGTTTTCCTCATTTTTCTAATTAAGGCATTAAGATCAATATCCAAAAGATGATATTTTATTCCTCTTTTTAGGCAACTTTAGCATGGGGGCAAAAACTTATTCACACCACTGTAGAACTCAGTGAGCTTGTGTTAAACATTTTCGACGCAGTGACTCATTTAAACGCATCTGATTGGCCGTTCCGTTCACCTGACTTGTCTGTGATTGGCTACAGTGCTCAACGCTGCAAAAGCACATTAGTAGTAGTAACTTTTGTAGAAATTATAAACATAATGCTATAATTTTAAATGATTTAATACTATTTCACAATAATACAGTTTTAATTGTATTTCTTATCAAAATACAAATATAATGCAGTTATTTTAAATTATTTAATAACATTTCACAAAATTACTGTTTTAACTGTATTTTGATCAAATAAATCCAGCCTTGGTGAGTAGAAGAGACATTTAAAAAAAAAAAAAAAGAAGTGTATGACAACCCATGTTTGAATATCAAGACTTTATCAGGATGGCCTGAATACTGAAAACAGCCTGTATAACTCACAATATCAATCAGATGACAGAAAATAATATCATGAATAATAGTCACAGCAGTTTTATGACTTTTGATGCAAGAAACCTTTTTTTTAAAGTGGAAAACCCCCCACGAAAAAGTTCATCTCGCAGTTCACATCTGAATCTTGCAGTTCATGTCTGAAGTTGCGCTCATGACACCGTTTCATTAGTATAATTATCTGAGAGGTGATTTAGGTTGCAATAAAGCAGTCAAACTAGGAGCCAAAGGTTTCATGCGAGTTCCTCAATAATTATACAGAGGCTTGAACTAGTTTAATTGCTACTCACTCTTCTGAATGACAACCGCCGCTCGTCCCAGTCTCTCCAGAAGACGGGCCAACTCCTCCTGGTGCCAGTACTTGAAAAACAAACGTGACGATCTGAAAGAGCAACACAGGGGAACTGCTGTGACTTGTTTAATATTATCTGAACCTTTTAAGCATCTAATTTATTGGCTCGTATAATATTAAGCCAAATTAAACATGTTAGAGCCTGTGAAAGATTTTACAAACCTAAAATCCTGACAGGACTATCAAAACAAAAAAGATTTTAAAAAATTTCTGAAGGAAATGTGAATGATTAGGGGGTTTGTTTAAATCAGTAACTGTACTAATGATTAATGAACAATAACAATAGTGATGCATGTCTTAAATGCCACTAATAATGCGCATTATTGCATTTACTTCATTTAGACAGGTTGCATCAGGCTCAAACTTACCCACACTTCCAGCCAGAGAGTTCAGTGCTGTTGAGGATCGACATACAACTAAAAGCAAAAAAGAAAAGGAGAACCATCGTAGATGAAACCAAATTATCATTATCAGTACATATCATCATGAAGAGCTCATTTAAAAGGGGCACAAAGCAATCTTATGTTATTTATTTTAGATTTTCCACTCTAGATTTTACTATAGATTTTCCACTTCTTCGTGCACTAATAAGAATGGCATTTTATTTATTTTTTCATTGTATACATACATAAATACATATTGTGCAAATAAATTCAACTAAAACCAATTATTTATTAGAGAAAGGAGACAGCTGAGGAAGCAATTGAGAAGAGCAGAACAAAGTCAGAAGGAGGGACTCAATCCATAAAAGATGAGCTCGCAACATTGCGCAGAGCTGAGCGCCTACGGAAACGCTAAAAAAAAGGAGCGTGCGAGAGCTAATTTCTATAAAAACCCATTCAAATTTGTAAATTCACCAGTGAAAAGAATGGCACATTAAAAGCATCTAAGGTTGAGCTGGAGAGATATTTGGAGGAATTGCACACAGATGCAAAAAGGCATGAGCCTATGTCAATTCCATCAGACATACCACCTATCAACCCTCCAGAACACCAAATGGAGGACTGTGCACCTAAGTGGAAAGAGGTGGGCTGTGAGAAAGGCCATAGAGAGTGTAAAAGAAGAGTTCAGGAGTTGTACGAATTCTGTGGAAATTGATGAAAGTGGCATGGGAAAAACAGGTTGTGCCTAGAGCATGGCGCAGAGCAGGTGGAGTCTTTACACCGAAAGAAAAAGATGCTACAAGCACTTCAATACAAAAAGCAGGGTCAGGTTTCCAAGGATGCTTAGAACACATCAATGTGATCTGGCAACATATTCAATCAGCTAAAAAGGAAAGGAAGGAGCTCCATGTGACATTCCTGGATTTGGCTAATGCATATGGTTCAGTGCCACATGAGCTTCTTTGGGCAGTATCAGTGTACCAATGTCAATAACAAATTTAGTGAAAGCCTACTTTGGAGATTTGCAATTTAGTTTCTCAACCCCAGAATTCAGCACTGCATGGCAATGCCTAGAGGTGGTAATAGTGGCAGGATCCACCATTTCTCTAATGGCTTTTACCATGGCAATGGAAGTAATCATTAGGGCATCAAGATGGGTAGTAGGAGGAGAGCGCTCGGCTTCTGGAATACGACAACCACCAATTAGAGGATAAATGGATGACATTACGACCATGACTACAACAGTAGCCCGCACTAATCGGTTATTGGGTAAATTAACCGATAACAATGAATGGGCATGAATGCAATTTAAAGGGACAGTTCACTTTGAAATAATTTTTTGGTATGTTTTAGCTTAGCTCAAGGGCATCCAAGACTTAGGTGTCTTTGTTTCCACAGTATTTTCAATTTTGACATTTTTCAGTCAAACCGTTGTTGTCTATCAGTCATACACTGGAGGCTAAGGGGGTCCACCAAAGAGCAGCACAGAGAAGTCCAAATTAAACATGATTTAATGACTCGTAAATGTAAGTACACATTGATGGCCTAAGACACGAAACGAGCGGTTTGTGTGAGAAAATTAATTACTTCATCGTTTTTACCTCTTGTAATCACAGCCATGACAAAATGATCTGACGGCACGGGCGCTTCGGTCTGCGCATGCACCGGAAGTGATCGCTTGCGCGCCGACGTCACTCTTTGTTTATACAGAGATTTCGGAAGTTTTACCTTTCACTAAACATATTTAGATATACGGGAAACCGCAATGGAAGACGATTTCGGTATATCTAAATATGTTTAGTAAAAGGTAAAACTTCCGAAATCTCCGTGTAAATATTGAGTGACGTCACACGCAAGCGATCACTTCCGGCGCAACATTGAACTGATTCAGTTCGGTTCAGTTGGACATTGCACAACTGATTCAGATCACTTGGACGTCACTGTGATTACACGAGGTAAAAACGATATAAATACTGTTCGATTTCTCACACAAACCGCTCGTTTCGTGTCTTAGGCCATCAATGTGTACTTACATTTACGAGTCATTAAATCATGTTTAATTTGGACTTCTCTGTGCATGCTCTTTGAGGTGGACCCCCTAAAACTGCATTATAGGACTGATAGACAACACCGGTTTGACCGAAAAATGTCAAAATTGAAAATACTGTGGAAACAAAGACACCTACATCTTGGATGCCCTTGAGGTAAGATAAAACATATAAAAAATGTATTTCAAAGTGAACTAT